CTTGTATTCAAAATTCATGTTTGTATGGAAGTAAAGTTTTTTTAAGAATACCAGAATAAAAGAGACAATCTAAATAGGATAATAAACCTAAAATAGGAATTTCATTAGGTAACGAAGAAGTAGGGTATAGAGTTTTATTAAATGGTAAGGTGATAGTAGCTAGACATGTTGACATAGTTGAGGGAGATATTAAGATGGTTGGATTTAAAATGAACTACCATAAAATTGAACATGCAAATGGATTTGAAAATCAAGTTTAAAACGATGATGATAAAAATGAGCAAGAGTCTGAGATTAATAAGAAAGTTTTAGACTTAAAATGGGCTTTTACAAAAAAAGATGACGATGTTTAAAAAGCAAGATTACTTGTAAGGAGATTCAAACAGAATGAAATTGTAGAAGATATATATTCACAAGCTGCTAAAATGCAGACCTTAAAAATTTTTTTGGCATACTGTTGTCAAAATAAATTAATTATTGAACATATGGATGTAGAAACGGCTTTTTTGAATGGTGAAGTGAAATCTGAGACTTATGTTAAGCAACCTAGAGGTTACGAAAAAAATCCTGAGTAAGTTTTAAAATCAAATAAGGCTTTACATGATTTAAGGAAAACTCCACGACTATGGTATGAATGTTTTGATACATATATTAAAGAGTCAGAAATTGCAAGAAGTAAAAATGATTGTTGTATATATGTATTAACTGATAAAAATAAGACCATTTATTTATTTTTTTTGTTGATGACATATTAATTTGTGGTAAAAATAAAACTAAATTTTATTATATTATATGCATGTTGTCAAAAAGATTNAATTATGGAAAAAGAAAAACGACACTTGATTAAAAAAGATGTATTGAACCGTTAGCAAATAAATATAATATTAAAAATTCAAAATTGTATGCTGTTCCGATGGCACTAAATTCAAAACTAGAATCAGCGCAATCAGCATGTGAGGGGATTAAATTTAGAAACTGAATTGGAGCTTAGTTTTATATAAGTTTAGGGACAAAACCTGATGTGAGTTTTTGTGTTAATTATTTGAGTACATTTTAAAACACTTATGATAAGACACATTTTAAATATTCCTTAAGAATTTTGAAATATTTGTTTTTGACAAAAGATTGAAAATTACTTTAAAAAAGGGAAAATAGAGGTAATCTCTTTGATTCTTATGTTTATGCTGATTGGGCCAGTGATGTAGTTGATAGAAAGTCTACGACAGATTACATTGTAAGGTTATACGGTAATGTAATTTTTTGGAAATCGAGACAACAAAATAGTGTTACTAAATCGTCAACTAAAGTTGAGTATGTTGCGTTATCTGAGAGTGTAAGTAAACTGAAAGTGATTAAGAACATTTTAAGTAATTTTAAAATTGAGTTGAAACAACTTATTAAAATTGATGAAGACAATAGTGGTGCTATAAGTATTGCAAAATGTGGTGTTTTTATGAAAAGTTTTAAATATATTGAAACATATTATTATTTTGTAAATAAGAGATGTGTAAAGAATTGAATTGATATGGTAAAAGTAATTTCGAACGGAAATGTCGCAAATATTCTGACAAAGCCATAAGAACGTAATAAGTTTAAAAAATTCAGAGAAATGTTGAATGTCATATAAATTTAAGGTGTGTTAAAATATAAGTAAATTAATATTAGTTGTAGTAAGCAACATTTTTTGTACATGGCGTCGATACGACTCGTATGAGACACGATGAGAGCAAAAGTATATATAATTAGGAAGTGTTAGACAGAGTGATTATGGCCATTGCCGGGCACGCACACTCACGTCATGCCTCTCTCAGTGCCATGAGAGTAATTGTAAAAATGCTTAGAATCTTTATTTGTTATAAATAAACTTATACATCAGTTAATCCGTTTTTTTTATTGTGGTTGCTACCTCGCCATACATTTGTTTTATCAACAGTTATTTTAGTAAATGTTTAACATTTGTGATATTCCCTGCCATATACTTAATATTTACCACTTCGAAACAAAGAGATTCATTTTTATTTTGTAAAACGCAGAAACTCAGCGATTTTAAAACATCGAGCGGTACACTTGCTTCTGCAATCGCGTGGCATATTACTTACTTCCTTTGCTGCGACACGACTGTGTCGTGTCAAGGACAATTGGGTTAAGGACGTTCATCACACATAGCGTTTTCTGAAGGACCTTCCTGAAATTTTTATAGGACGCTCGTGATGATGTTAGAAAGTCAGATATAGAATCGGAGACCATTTTACAACACCGTTTTTTAGATATTATATGTTGATAATACTTAAATTTAATACGTAACCTTATGGAGGAGTCTCATAACAATGGAGTTTATAAGAAAATGGTCTGAAGAATTTATCTAATTTTTTTTTGCAAGACACAATACCATAAAATTGATATTATACTGAATTTTCAGTAGGATCGACAAGTTACTTTTGCAATAAATTGAAGAAAAACAGTATCAGACGCCTATGTATGGGTATACAAATGCGTGCAAAAAAATTGCTGGCAATGCCACATGCTTGCTCCCCCCTCACCGCTCTCGAGTTTTGCCCCGCTGATTGTGATGAACGTCCTTAAGCTCTGTTTGGTCGTTTGGATCTCTAACCTTAACTGTCCCCCTGAAGTGCAAGAATATAAAAACACTTAGCATACAACAATATTGGCCTTTTCTTTTTCATTAAGTGCTCCAAACTAACAATAAAGGTTAAAGAGTGAGCTGTGTTGCGTCTTCCAAGCTGATGTAGGACTTAGTCCGGTGATTAAGCTACGTGTTAGAAGCGTGCATTTCGAGCAAATGTTAAACTTAGTTCAGTGATTCAGCTGTGTGAAAAGAACTTGAGCAAACTAGGCCACTGTAAACTTGCCTAAAAAGTGAATTAAGGAGAAACAAGAAAAAAAGCTCCGTCAACTACGGTTCCAACGTTAAAAGCAGTAGCTTATTTATTGTCATAACCACGAGTACTCTCAAGTAGAATTAGGATCGTTGTGGTCAATCGTATAAGATCTTCTGACTGCGTGCGTGCAAGCAGTAGCTAACCAACGGTTATAAAAGTATGTTAAGATAAGAAAACTATAAATTGCATGAACGTTGTGAATGTGAATCTGTAACTTTATAATAGTAATTATTTGTGAAATCGATTATTTCCAGCTTTTCTAAATTTGTTATACCATCAGATAAGACACAGCTTAGTTGTTGATTGAACTTACTTTTTTGATTCAGAAATATTCCAGTTACTAAATTATACGAAATAATTCAAAATTCAAAACTCCAAATAATAAACACATAATTCTTACTTTAATGAATNATAATGATTATATTAGTTTTTTAAATAAAAAAATCCCTTTAAAAATTAACTAGAGGGACTCAAACCTGTTACACCAAATATAACGAAATGTATAAGGGGGTTGATAAGACAGACATTTATACTTATATCAATTTTCCAATAGATATGTTGAATAGTCTTCGGGAAGGTTTAATATTACTTACAACATAATAATGCTAGTTAGAAACTTAAGTGTAACAGACGGTTTATGTATTGAGGTACTTGATAAGAAATTACTAAATTATTGGAACGCAACGTGGAAAAAGTAATAATAACTAAAGAAAAAAATGGACATTAAGTTGTGATCCTAAGAATGACTTTAAAACTGTAAACACCTCTTCACTACATTTTATTGAATATCGTTTGACTCCGACAAAATTATACGTAGCTTTATAAAGTTATAAAAGTTAAAGTAATTTATTTACTTTAGTTGAAAAAGATAATTCGTGAATTAACAATATTGTTTGGAAAGAAATTGAACAAAAATGAACTTACATTTACTACTAAAAAGTCTATTACATACTTGACGTGTGCATGGAAGATTGTCACAGCGTGACGTCACTCCATGTTATTTTAAATGGGATGACGTCACGCTGTAATAGTCTTCCACGCACACGTCGATATAGAGATAAATTATTACATTTACTTGAAAGTGCATTTTTCGTGACTATTTTATTATTAAATAATAACACATTACAGGATGTATTCTTATTTAATACTTGAACGTTTTGTTAAAACAAATTTTTTTTAACTATCATAAAATATCTACAATTCCTTTAATTTTCTTAACAAAATTAAGTTGTTACAATCCAAAATATTATTTTTAAGTATTAATTTACGTAATTTAGTTACAGCTAATTAATGCCTTATACTTAATCGGGAACTAAAGAAAGTTACATATTTGAATTTTTTTGTACTCTGTATAATATGTCTCAGAAAAATTCAATAATTCCTACATTTAATTAGAAATTTGTAATTAAATTAACTGTTTTTCAATTCTTTCTAAACACAGCTTAGCTTATGAAGAAAAAAAAACTTACATTTCTACTAAAACATGCACTTATTAAGTCAAGCACTCTAGAGAGAGGCTTAAACTTCCTTCTGTTAGGGATGGTTGGTAACTGCAATCTTGCGCTCTCCATAGCAGTGCAGTGTATACATAGATATAAAAATATAGTCATAAAACATATTTATAACTGCATCCATAGAGGTAGTGACAGAGCATACATTTAAATTGAAACATAAATAGACGAAAAAGCAAAAATATTAAGTAAGATAAGTAGTTATACTGATGATGGATACGTTGATCTAATGAAAGCAGCTTGGCAAGTACCAGAATTCTTAATTGCTGCAAATCGTCATACAGTTGTTAATTTAACTGTCTTCCTTAGAAACAAACAAAACCTTATATTTAATAAAAATAGTTTTAAAAATAGTATAAAACCATTAAATGATTCGAACAGCTTGAATGTAATCAAACAAATTATTTTGGAAAATTAATGAAGAATGTAAGTATTTTAGGATATACTATTTTTAATAACAAACTCAAAATTAAAGGAACATGAAAAAATGTAACAAAAACCATTGCAATAGGTAGATTAACCAAAGTATCGCCAAAGATTCGTAAATGGTTTTTTTAAACTTATCCAAAATAGAATAAAGTGTGCAACATTATTCAAAGACATTGAAACTTATGAAGAACTTCATACCAGCCGCTTCAAGATTCTGTAACGAAAATGCATTTAATGAATTATGATTCTTAAATCACTAATACTTTCGAAGAATCAATCATTTCAATGTTTTCTAATCAACTAATGCAATTTTTGGCATGGTTTTTAATTTTAAAAAATATTCAAAACAAGAAAGTATAA